TAATACCATGCACTATTATAATTGTTACGGTAGGACTGCCTGCCATTGTATTTCCAGAGCACCTCAGAATTTTGAAACTCAACAGGAACCCCCAACCTCACCATCAACTAATGCATGAAATCTTTGGTACCCCCAGGCGAAACGCTCAGTTTCAAACTAGTTCTTGACGATAGCCAAGTACTGGCTGATGAATGAAAAATGCAGTTCGAGGAAGGGGTGGGGTTACCAGTATCATAAGAGTTACCGCAGATGATGGAAGCAATGATGACCATTGGTGATTCCAGGCTCATAGTAGATCATCTACTTTGCAAATGATGTATGACTTCTCTAGTAATTAGAAACGGGTAGCTAGAGTTGCAGGGAAGACACACTGCTGCGGACGACCAAGGTTAGGCCAGTCACCATGGCCCTCAAATGTCTCCTACTCAAATGCCTGGTATACATGGAGACAAGTTCATTGTTTGCTACCCGCTAAATAAACCATATTCTAAAACAAACAAACCTGTCTAACTTTTAATGCCAGCTGAGCTTCACTAAATCATCACTGCCTAGAATGCTCCAGCCTCGGCGAGCTCCAAATCTCCAGCAGCCATGACATCATAGACGTAATGATCCTTTTGGTCTCCCCAGTGTTCGCAGACCTTCTCCGCAGCTGCCTGGGCAATAGATCCACCAAGACGACGACGGCCCACCTGTTTCAAACTTGGCATATTGCAGGTGACCGGGTGTTGTGGATTCCTGTTGACCTCCATGGAAGAGCTTGGGCTCGCTTTCCAGCACCTGCCATTCATTTCCAAAGGCATCAGCATCTGTAAGGGCAGTTCCATTGCGGGCAAGCCACTTGCCAGTCTTGTAGTCTCCCAAAAGACCCTTGCTATTTTCATACTCCAAAGGAGTGGCACCAACTGTCTTGATGCTAAGAAGGTCTTTGAAGGATTGAAGGACAATCTGCTTGCCCAGGCCAAGCTCAATCACAAACATATCCTGCTTGGAGCTCTTCTTCTCATGCTTGATGGAGTATTTGTCAAACATGTCCAGATCAGCATTGGAGATTCCATTCAGCATGTACCCACCATATTCACCAAGCTCAAAAGTGTCCTCCCCAATGCGAACAGCAGCAGACTCAATGTAAGAATACTGGTTTCGCGCCTTTGTCCTAATGTGGATGTTCAAGCCGATCCCCTCATCAAACTCGGGGCTGCTGATAAAGACCAAGTCACACTCTCCATGGAAGTCATACCACTCACACGTCCATGTCTAATTACAAATGAAGGAGAAAACACTTGGTTAGTCCACAAAAGGTTCAATGGACTGGGCTGACCGTGGCTTGCTGAGTCGTACCTTGAAGTGTGGGTCTCCCATGCCGTAAGCAGCTCGAAGCTGTGCTTGCGAATAACCCAGGGAAATGTGCAACTTGTGCGTGGCAAAATTTGGAACAACGTCGCCTGGGGGTCCATAAATCCCTGACCATCGACCCACAGCAATGACATATACGCCAGGAGCATTGAAGGTGTAGATCAAGTAAGAGTCACGATGGTGGTTTGAGCCAGGATCAGCTGGACCGTCACCCTGATCATCATGATGTGCAAGGTAGTTTCCACTTGAGTCATACAAAGTGAGAAATGAATCGAAGCCACCCGCATTGTCCACATCAAAGATGGAAGCAATCATTCCTGAATTGGGGACCTCAAATGAGTAATAGTCATGAGTATCATCTCCAGTACCATCAATGGTTACCCAAGGAAGTGTAGCAGAGTTTGCAATGATAGGATTGTACCCAAGAGAGAAGGCAGCGACGGGGATTTGCTGCAAAGTACAAAGTAGAAGGCCGAGGTGAGGGGGGGGGGTGTGATTTGAATTAATGACAAGAGCAAGGACAAACCTGAGCAGTGTTGGGTTGTTGTTGGCTTGGTTTGATGACAGAAGCCTGAGCCACCGACGCGAGAGTAAAAAATCCAGCAATGATTGAGGAAAGCTTCATGGTTGCCAATGGTAAGTTGAGCAAGATTAGATTAGAGCAACCATGAAGCCTTCAGAATTGAGATTGTGAGAAGTAGGCGGCAGAAGCTTCCTTGTCATGGATCTTTGATGCTAATCGACTCGGGTGATGGGTGAGAGTAGATGTATGCTAAAGTGTGAATGGGAAAACTGTGAATGGAAAAACTACTTTGTTGAGTGTCTCGCTCATGATCAAGAGCCATTCTCTTTTTTTTTGAAGTAAAACAACCATCGTGAAGGTTCGAGTCCCCATCCGCAACGGTTCGCACTATTTGCAAGCTACTTTAGTGTATTAAGTTCGCACACAGTCATAATCGTGAAGGTTCTGTTAGTCAACAATCGAGAGTAGATGTATGAGTGTGAATGGAAAACTTTTCTTGGTGTGGAGCGTCTCAAGAGCCATTAATGAAACCAACACCAGTCTGGAACCGTACCGGTTCGCTTATTTGTTCTGGGAAGATTGTTTATCCACTCATGAGCTCAGCATGCAGCACGCAGCACGCAGCACCCAACAAGAGAGCGCGAAGATACCGTTGCTCTGGATCTGCAACCGCACAATACAAAAACGATGCACCTACCGCCACATTTTTTAGAACAGACCAAGAGATAGATGGACTCGACTCGTTGAGCCAGCATTACTTCTTTGTTTCTTGGACTGCTTGACATTGCATTTCAAGAGCACCTTGAAATACAATTCTGAAAGCTCAAGCAAGAGCTCATCATCAACTACATGTAATGCAATGAAACCTGTGGTACCTTTTTGCGAAAGGCCCAGTTTCGAGGTGCATTTTGAGAAAGATAGCCAAGCACTGATGACTCAGTTCGAGGAAGGAGTGGAACTATCGTAGACTTACCCAGATGGAACCAATGGTCATTGTCGATTCCAGGCTCATGGTAGAATCTACTGGACTCTCTTTGGTGATGTGGCCGGTATGACTTCTTTGAAATGGGTAGAGTTCAGCTGCTCCTCTCTTGCAGAGAAGATCAATGCCAGAAAACAAAGTGTCATGTGAACAATTCAAGGCAGAGAAAATCAAGAGGACCCCTCCGGTAAGGTGAAATAGGATGCAGTATTAATCAAAATCAGCACGAACTACGAAATGTCCATTGTTATTGTACACGGTTTTTCAAGTGGTGGGGGTCATGTACCGGTACGGTACGGGTTCCGGTATACCGGTATGGTGGTTTCGTCGTATTTTAGACATCCAGTTTGGCTGGTGGTGCGGCCGTGGGGCAACTCCGGAGTACGGTAGGCGACCCAGGCAGCCATTTTCAAACCAAGCGCAAGAATGCAAGACAGGCAGATCTGGAAGGACCGAGCATCGAGAAACGTTTGGGATCATAGTCTAGTCTCTCCAATTAGTCCCATAGTCCCATCCAAGATTGATGACCACGCCGCCAATCTCAGGAGGATCAACAGCATTTGTACAGACAAGGAATGAAGGTACAGAGATGGTAAGCGAAAGGACCAAATGCAACGGAATTCGAGACGGTGGCATCACCCCGTGAAGATATAATCACTCTAGCTAGGGTTCTCCTTCTTCGGTGACAACTTTATTATAGGAGCCACTCACTCCAAAAGTTCTTTAGTTGACCCGACACGGAGTTGTTGTATCGCCTCTTTTCCACTCCTTTTAGGCGAGTTCCGCAAGAGTGACATCAACTCCAGAAGCGGAAGACGAGAAGCACGCAAACAAAAGAACTCAGGTTGGCCGTGAAGCGTCCCCCGTAGGATGGATCAGCTACCTTCTTCGATTTTAAAAGGTGTGAAGTTGCAGCCTCATCACCACTGCCATGCCGGCACAACGTCATAGCAGGCAAACAGGTACCGTCAATGAGAAGACACTCAATGGTTCCTTTGTGATACATTCTTTATCTACAAAGATAGGAAGTTGCTCTTAAAGAGTTGCTTCAGACTCATCATTGAGGACGAAGCCTGTTACGAACTGCCTTCACAGTACCAGGGTGCGGTCCACCGGTATATGTATTTTAAAAGGCAGCGGCACGAACGGTCGGCCAAAAACGTAGGGTGACACTGGCACTTGCTGCTACTCTAACCACGACAGTACACTTCCAAATCAACGAAATATCCTCAATCCTCATGTCATGACAGCGAACCCCCTCAATAATCTTGGTGCACCAACCAGCTAAGAGCCGGAAGCTACAAAAAGACGTTCGGCTTGACACCCAAAATCTGGATTTGTTTTCTCCAGTCTGCAGTTGCAGTTTGCTACCGGTAGTCTGCCGGTATGCTGCCAGAATGATTGGGGTGTCAATCCGAGTCAGCAATGTCCAGTGCTCCAACCAAGCTTCCTTTCTCGTAAAGAATGCAGAGAGGCCAGAAAGGAATGAATCTGTAAGATGCTATCACATTTCATTCGTTCAATTCGGGGCATCCTTTTATTGGAAGGATATGAACGGTTTATCATTGTGATGGAAACAAGAGAGGAAAGCGGAGGTGATGCATGGACTACCGGCTACCGGCTACCGGCTACCGGCCGTTGTATCCATTATTTGCCTGTTCTAAAAAGCCTCCTCCAATCAGTCATAGCACATCCTCACATCCTCAGCGTTCCCAGCGAAGTATTAGTAGTCATCTCACGGAGATGAGTAAGCACAGTAACAAGATTCGATGCTTGACAGCTGCTGGACTCTCCTTCCCTCCATCGAAATTCATTGGTCAGTTGTGACAGCTCCGGCATTTTCCTTCATTTTGTGATCGATGGCCATCATCAAACAACGGCTACTCCGATTAATGAGCGACAGCAGCTCGCCATCCTCGAAGTGTCCTTTTCTGTCTCCAAAGGCTTTCTTTAAAGGGAATGGTGAAAAGGGAAGGGTTCGCGACTTCCAAGTGCCGGTAGCATTTATCGCATCATTGATCTTGCTTCCGTGAAGTCTAGGCCTTTCCCGAGGTTGTTAATAATTATAAAAGAGATAGACCAGTATGACTGGAGGATTTAGTGTCTTTCGAACAACAGGGGTGTACTGAAGAAGCACCGGATTTACCATTCCTGCGTGAAAAATGAGGAGATTTCTAGGTTTGTGTGGCTCAAAAATAGCGTTAAAATGGGTACTGCATGTAATGGAAAAACGAGAGCAGCAGTTCTGCTCTGCTCCGTGTTACTAGACTCAATCGTTCCGTAGCCAAAGCTACCGTACCACAGCAGAAGGAAGACGTATGATACATCATACCGGACCCACTACTGCATCTCCAGGTTTGCCAACTGTACTAAGTACTTGCACCGGTACTGTTCGCTAGCTAGCATCGCAGTTTAGCAAGCAAACAGGGCAATCTCGCCTCTCCTTCTAATCGAAACTATTCCACGTAATAAAGTCGCTGGTTGCATCAAATCTAATGCAAACCATCCTTTGCGGACTTGAAGACGTCAGAACTCAGGATTTGTTAACAATCACATACTTCGGGCAACATCATTCGCGTAGTGTTCTGCGTTCCATGCGGACACATCAGATTAGATGAATCTTGAATCTTGTATCATACATCATGTACTCGTGTCAGCGTGTCGGTTTTGGGGTAGTCTTGAGCGGATAATGAGGGCCTTGATGAGGGCGATACCGCAAGCGGTATCTCAACTGCCTGAAGCCTGATTCAGAGTCGTGGGATTAGTCGCGTAACTTTGAAATCGTGGCAAACACCATGTTCCAGGTTTAGCGCTGTTAAAGAGTTTAGTCCCTGTAATTCACGAAGCAAACGTTTTTGTTTTTATACAGTTCCAAACGGATTAGGCCATTAACCTGTATTCACGGATATCCACGAAAATCTACCGGTAAGCACTTGAGCCCCCAAAAGAAGGCTACCTGGACAACGAAAATGCAGTGCTCCCAGTCATAGACTAGAAATCATAGAAAATCGTTAAGCATGAGTTTCCCGTCGTTTTCCGGGCTCAAAGGCTTCTTGATTTTGGCGCTGCCGGAAGTTACCGTTTTCGCCGTGTCAAGTGCTTCTTCATTGCGTCCACTCCGAAGTCCTCAGGCCAATCGAAAGTCTCACAATGTACGCAGCCAAAATTGTTTGCCTTTCAAGTGTTGCCGCCCATTGTTGCCACTGTTATTAGTCTACAGCGTAACCACTTTGGCTCGTACGCTCATTCATCCTCATTAGAAAGCAGAACAGTCGATCATGACACAGTTTCATCTTAGCAGCAACCAACCCAAAGCTGCATCTCCTCATCATCACCATCATCATCATCACTGCGAAGAATTGCCATTCATCATGGTGAAAGCCAACTTTCTTCCTGTCATCCACCAGCGCGACGAGACGGTTCCGCAAATGATCAAGGCTCCTTCCATGGACGGTTCTTCCTCTTGCACGTCCGCCGCCGCAGATCATCACCAAGAAGGCCCAGCGTCAGCTCCTGCATCTCCCAAGGGTTCCTTGTCATCCTCTTCCGAATCTACTACTAGCCAACAGGATCTACTCCAACGATCTCTGAGGGACGAACACTGGAACCGCGTAGAAGATCTCTGTGAAAAAGATCCGTCTCTAGCCCGCGATCGCATCTCGATGGTCTGTCAAGGCGAGAACTCGACGTGTCTCCCCATTCACTTTGCCGCTGGCAAAAAGTCCACTCCCGTCTCTACCATTGACAGTCTCGTTACAGCTCACCCCGGCAGTTTGCTGGCGGTGGAGTCCAGCGGCGGTCGTCTCGCCTTGCACATTGCCGTCCTCAAGGGTGCTTCCTTTGCCGTTGTACGGTATCTCTGCGAAGCCATGCCACAGACGTTGGGCATGGCAGATCAAGAAGGAAACCTGCCGCTGCACTATGCCGCCATGTACTCGTCCGACGAAATCATTCAACTCCTTCTCAAGTCTCACGCAGATGGCTGCAACCAGGCGAATCGATCCGATCGATTGCCACTCCACCTTCTGTGTGCGCGGTGTTGGGATCGCAATGCCATTTCCATGGAGACGGTTCAAGCCGTCCTGATGGAATACCCGGAAGCCTTGAAGTGTGCGGATCGACGTGGTCGATTGCCATTGCACGTTGCTTGCAGTAGCCAAGATCCCCGCGCCGACATGATTCAATTGCTGGTTCCGGCATACCCCGAAGCTTTGTTGGCAAGAGACCAGTCCAAAGGAACGCCACTCGATTTGGCCCGCAAGTTTTCCGCCGGTGGCGGTGTCGTCGTGGCGTATCTGCAAGACTGTTCCAACAAGGAACGGCGCAAAAAGTACAAGTTCTTGGCGCCGTTCAAGCATGTGGGAGGCAAGATTGCTCGTCGTCGGCACTGCAAGCCCGATGTCGATGCGCTTCACTTGCACTACTGCTACGGATAAACTAGCTACTGTCCTTCCTTCCTTCCAAAGTCACCCCAAGCTGTCTGTCTTGCAATAATAGACCACAAGAAGACTCACACTAATAATAGATCCGAAAACCTACTACCTCCCATATCTATCGCATAATCAATACTAGTACATAAACGATTAGTCTATACAACTTGAAGCACCTGCATTGTTTATTAGTATCCCGAGGCTAGTCTATAGGTAAACACAGCTATCAACATGTACGTGCAACCAGTGCTTGTCGGGCAAGCACCCAGCCACAGGTAGCTAGCGCTAGCTAGCTAGATGAGCAAGTTGCTTCACTCGATGAGCATTGAGCCACCTCAGCGACTATCGTAGCATCGTAGCTGCTTGATCTTCAAGATCTGAAGCATCCATTGTTGCCATTGGTCAATTTGAGATTTTGCGGGAATCGATCACAATCGAACCGATTCACAATGTCATTCATGATTTGCTGACACCCAGCTTCCTCCAAGATGCCGGTTATGAGAAGCACCCTCACGGATCATTCGTTCTCATTTCGAAGCTATCACATTTATTACCTCCTCATAGTTTGTATTTCCATCCTTCTAAAGAGCGATATACAAAAAAACAAAGCTTCATTACCACAACACTGACAACAAAGATGCGTTCCATTCTTCTAGCCGTTGTCGTCCTCCTTTCCCTAACAACAACTTCCGTGCAAGCTGGGTGGTTTGGGTCCAAACAAACAACACAAGCAGAATCATCACCTTCCTGGCAGCAGATATTTCAGAATGCAGAACAAGAAGCCAAGAGCACGGTGGCAGAAGTCAAGTCCAAGACTGCCAAGATGGAGCGAAAATCCCGTGAGGTATTGGCGGATGCCAAACGAGATGCCGCCATTGCCAAGGCCAAAGCACAACGCTACAAGACCAGTATAGAATTCCAGGCCGCGGATACAAAGGCGGCAGCAAAGCGAGCCAAGGCAGAAGCCAAACGAATCAAGGCGGATCTGGAACTGAAAACTACCGGGGCAAAGGCGGATGCCCAAAAGTATCAAGCGGATCTTCAGGAACGAGCCTCCAGAGCCAAGCAGCAGTCGGAAGAAGCTAGTAAGAAAGCATTTGATGCGTCTATTGATTTTGTGCGAGACAAGAGGAACAAGATTGCAGCCATCTTCCATTGATAATTTGAAAGAACAAAGATAGAAAGAAAATCAAGCAAGATCCTGATGGCAAAGACAACCAATCTTTGGAGCCTTCTTGAGACGCCTTGCTTGATGCACACAATATACATCCTTTGACATCACGAGGCTACCTTTTACTCCATACATAATTATATATATAATCACATCTTCCAGCTAGCTACCAAATAAAAATAAAAGACAAAACACCTTCATACTTAGCTCGTTGGGATCCCGCGAGAGGTTTTGGGATTTGAATGAGATCTGGCTGGTGTTTTCGGGCACCGTTTTGTCTGCGTACTATGGGGCCGGGGTCTGTAGTTGCTTCATTCCTTCGTCCAGGGGAAGGCATAGTTGGTCATGAAGTTTTTGGGCCAGAGCAGCGTGCTTGTTGGGAGCAAGACGTAGTGATGGACCAGAGGAGCGAGGTCCTGCCTGGTGGTTGTCGTACCTAGCTTGACACAGTTCTCGCATTCTTGGGTGAGATTGGGGGTGGTCTTGGAAGGATGCCTAGCGGTGGAATAGGGATAGGTCCTGGAGTGCTGTAGGACCTTGAAATTGATCAAAGTTTGATCTTTTGCTTTATAAATTACTTCTCTGGATTGAGATGTGAGGGTTGGGCTGGCCATGGATGAAAGATGGGGGTTTGGGTGCATCTTCATCATTTCCCGTCCCTTGAAAACAATTCACAGCTTCACCGCTTTATGTTTCTGAGACGAATGACGTTACGTAGAGCGCTGGGAAGGGGCAAAACAAGGGCAATGACGATGACACCAAGATTCCTTGCGACGGCTTCAAGGAACTTTTTAGATTCGATTCGATTCGATTGAATTCTGTACAAGTTGAAATTCTCACAGGTCTGTTCTGTTGTTGTTTGGACTGGACACTCTTCAAGCTCTAGACTAGCATAGTCAATTGTGGTGCTCTCACAATCACCACTTTTCTTACGGAAGCTAGTGTATCGCATGGGCATGTCACATCATCGAAGTAGTAATTCTTCGGCTGCTGCCGTTGCTCCCACCATGATGAGCCGTTTGGTTCCTTGGATGGTGATGGGTCTATCAATGGGGGTGGGGTACTTTGGTTTGGAATCCTTGATGCGCAGTAACCAGGAAAAAATGAACGGCAAGAAAAATCAGTCAACAAAAAGACGTCGACGACGCCATTCGCTGTACTCCCAACTGCTGCGACAAGTGCAACAAATGGAGACCATGATGTCTTTGGAGAACATTCCCTATTGGTTTGTGCAGTGCTGGACTCTGCCCGTGGCATCCTATGATATTTTGTGGGGCGTCTTTCTGACGGTCCTACCAGCGCAGACCAGTCCCATTGATCTGGATCCAGCCAAGGGAGCTGCCAGAGTGCTTGTGGGACACAGTAGTACTACGAGTACTACTAAAGAAAATCGTCCACCAATACAACCAAACAACACTGATGAGTTTCTGACGCTCCCTCCCCAATTGCATCCACGGTTGCCACCCAAACCAAGCAACAACTACAATGGGAAGAACAACAATAATAAGAAAGAACGCTATGTGGAAATGCTGCTTCACAGTGTCAGTCACACAGACCTGGTATTGGGACTTGAAGCCATTCTTTCAAGCCATGCTACTACTTCAGGTGATGCAACGGGAAATAGTACTGAGGCAAAAACAACAGCTTCATCACTGAAATCCATGTGCTTGGGACGACCCCGGTTCAGTGCTTTTGACATGTACTGTCGCAAAATGTTGCAAGCGTTGGAACAGGAGGAACAACAACAAACAAGTGACAAGGCAGAAATCATTCTCGTGCCACAGTACCAACGCGCCCAAAATGATCCTCGGTACACCATTCAACCATCCACCGATCGACCTCATGTGGCCACTGGATTTTGTTGGAAAACAACATCAGCGAACAGCAGTAACAAACAACAACAAAACAACAATCCCCGATTGATTCCCTTGACACAAGCATTGGCGGATTTGCGAGTGCGAGGAAAAGACATTGCCCGATTGGATCCATGCTACGAAGCAGCTACCAGAACGAACGACGACGAGGCGACCGTGTCGTGGAACATGGTAGCACCGGATGGCACCACCACCACCGCCACAACCGACGAAACAACAACAGCGCCGTCACGACAAGACGTCATGGTGGAACTCAAGGCCATCTTTTTCCCACTCTTGGCCACGTTGCTGCCTCGATGGCACGCTCAAATTGCCAAGAAACATCACAAAACCAAAAGCAAAATTCAAAAGGTATTGGTACTCGTCACGGGGGTTGGTACACCGCGCAATTGGACACACTCTGTGACGGGCAACTCGACGCAAATGCTGGCGCATCTCATGGAACGATTCCTGGCCAAAGTACATCCCGATATTACAGTCGTCAAAATTCATTCCGACACGAACATTTTTCGATACGATGACAACATTTTGTTTGTCCAACAAGAGCTGCTCCCCACGGTCAATGCCTATCGCGATGCCCATGCCATGCAAGCACCGTATCCACATGAACAGCAACAACAAGCAGCTGCAGAGTCATTGTTATTGATTGATGATGATGACGACAAGGAGGAAACTGTTAAGCATGGATATTTGCAACAATTGAGGCCGAGATTCGCCAATATCAGCAACAACACGCAACCCTTTGACGTGGACTGGAAAAAGACCTTTGCCGTGACACTGAGCTTTGCCGATGGCAGCCCCGCACGGACTCATGCCATTCAAACGGCTCTACGATTCTATCGACCAGCGTTTCTACATATATGGCAGCTCAAGACGTTCTGGCACGAGCGAAAGATTGTGGACGATGACGCCGAAGTGCACAGTTTTGAAGAAATGGAAACCAGTCCGGCATTGGAGTCGACCGATATTCGCGAGGGATTACTAGCCCAAGTCGTTCAAGAAATGAAGGCATTCCGCGAAGAAATGACAGAAACGTTATTGATGAATGAGTCGTCCAATGATATTCATTCCTTTTGGTTGCGCAAAACACACAAACCAGTTCTGGCCGTGTTGTTGGTGCAAACGGCAGATGGACCTCCGGTTTTGTATCGAGGTACCAACATGGAAGTAAGCATGCCCACGGGCTCGTTGTGTGCGGAACGCAACGTCATTGGCACGGCTCTCGCAAGTAATCCCAAACTCAAACGAGAAGACTTGAAGTGCATTGCCGTATTGGCGGTACCCCAACCCAAAGCGTCGTCACGAACGGCACGGGCTGCGTCGTCTGTTGTTGGAGGAGGAGGAAATTCCAGCATTTCCGAAGCGGCGGCTGCAATGGTTTGTGGTAGTGCGCGGAGCTCACGGCACAATTCGTTGGATGCCACCAACGGCGCGACGACTACCATGACGGGTGGGCAAATGAGACGACAATCCTTTGATGAACGAGAAGAGGACTGGGCGCTGAGTGGTAGCGGGTCGGCTCCGTTGGGAAAGAACGCAGCGCACGGTGGGGAGGAAGCGATTAAGATCGAAATGGGCGTCGACACTAAAAGTCAGGTGCAGCAGAACGAGGAGGAAGAAGAGCCAAGTACACCTCTTCAACAGATCTCTCTGTTCAAAACAGAATCATCCAATTCGCTGGTCGACATGATTAAACAATCCCCGTCGGGGATTAGCCCGTCGAGGCATGCCTCGTCGTTGGCTTCTGCCGGCGCAAAGGACAATCGGAAAACCGTGCTGGTCCGATCGAATGCGGATGACATCAACCCCTTGCGGCCATGTGGGGCGTGTCATGAATGGTTGAAGAAGATCGCCGAGTGCAATCCCTATTTTCAGATCCTGACCTTCACTGACGCTCATTGCAACGGTGTGTACCTGACTCCATGTCACGAGTAGGCAAATCGTCGTTGTACTGCTATCGATAGCTGGCTTTTTTTGAATTACTACTTTTTACCAGGAGAGTTATCGGGATAGCATTCGCTGGGTACGGATCATGTGCTGTGTTTGGCGAAAGGGGAGATCCAGAGCGCCTGTGCCCTGGTGGTGCCTCGGTTGCTGCCACCACTGAAGGGAAAAGAGCTGTTGCTTCGTTGCTACTAACTTTAGAATGTCGCTGAAAAATCTTTGTATCTCTTATAAGGGTTCTAATGATGTAGTAGCTGGTACATGTACGGTTTCACCCCCAACAGCTTCCTGTTGAAGAAAAGCGAATGCTCTGGCATGTTTACTTCGTTTCTGTGCGGTCATACGCTCGGTACAACGACTTGAGATTCTTCAACCCTGCCTCAGTCAGTCTTTCGTCTTCGGGGGGTTCCGTTTGCGAAGGTTCTGTTGCCTTCTTTTTTTCACGGCGGGGGCCCAACAATATCGTGACATTGAAGTCACTGAGACCATGTAGTTGTACTGCTTCTTCCACCAGCTGCTGCGCCTCCCTTTTCAGAGACTCAATATGCCTCTTCTTTTTCCCACCAAGCTTGTCCATCCTCTCCTTCGGCTGTTGCATCCACCTCTTCAGTTCTGTTAGCGTCTCCGCGTTATTCTTCCAAAGAAAATTCCGAAGTTGGGCATGGGTCGTTATGATCGGGATTTGGTCTTTTTCCAATTGCGGAGGTTCGACCCAGAAGCTGTCTGTAACATTGTCTTGATTGGGTCCACGATGCGGACGCGGAACCCTACCACTAGAGAAATTCTTGCCTAGCCAGTACCAGTAATCGTCTTCTTCCTCATGAGCATGCATCTTTGGTGCTCCATGGAAGTGCCAACTCTGGATGACGGTGCATCCATTGACATCAACAGCGTCCGGAAGCTGTTCCATGAGAGCCCAAAGTGCAGCATTTTCAGCTCCAACTTCGTTCATTTTGAAGAAGGCTACTTCCTTAACTTCATTAGAAGTGTTGGTCATCCCCTTGGATGTAGGGCGCTGGAAGTTCCCGACTTTCAGTGTGCCTGCCACCAGATGCCTGTGAAAGACATATGCATCCCAGGAGCTCTCATAAAGATTGCATCTAGAATAAACCTCAGTCTGGTATTCTTTGGAGTCTTCTCCATGGACAAAGCTGAAGTATTCCCTTGTAGGAAACGGCACTCTATCCGGTCTGAATCCCCAGGTTGGAATTGCCAACACAGTGTTATCCTTTATTTCTTTGGCCCACTGGACAGATCTGTCAAATGCTTGGTCAGCATTTGACATGACAACAATGTCACTGGTGACAAGATCTGGGTTGGTAGCATACATGAGCATTTCGTAGTAGGAAGGCTGCCCTCCTTTGCGGTTGCGACAATCCAGAACGGGTCTTTTCCTGTTTGTGTAGTCTTCTGTGTCTGTTGCATTGTTCCCGATGTATTCTGCATATTCGTTGAATTCAGCTTCCACCTGGGTCATTCTCTGTTTGAAATGACGGCAGTTGGCATCGGAAGTGGACCCATCAAGGATGATGACAACCTGGTCAAAATGGGGATTGTGGAGATTGTTCAGGATGGATGCTTCAATTTCTCGTCGATGTAGACTGATGGGCTCCTCTGGTGCCTGAGCCCAGAAACTTGTGACCAGCGAGACGGTCTTGCTAGTAGAGTTTGTGGAATTGCCTACTAGTAGAGTATCGTTGCTCCTAGCGGCGGCGGAAAGACTTCTTGTGGTGGAAGTGGAAGTACTGAGGTTTCGAGAGCCGGTCTCCTCCATCGTAAGGCTGATGGAAGAGGTTACACCGAAAATGACGTTCACATCCGAATACTTCACAAAATCGGAAGGAAACAATACAGTCAAGAGGGTGAACAACAAGACGATGATCATGTAGTTCCGCTCTCTGGTTCTTGGCGTCCCGGGAGTGCGGGGCAGAAGCGGTTTGGAATCATCAGAATCCATGGTGATTCTGCTGCTGAATCGAGGTGGTGATGCAGAGGGAGAGAAGTGGATGGAGGTGCTGAAATAATGGTTTTGGTGCTGATGATGCTTCGAGTGGAAATCATGAGATGCAAGAGAATGCTTTCAATCACAAGCCTGTATGTGTGTTGCAAACATTGCGCGGTTGCTTGGTGACCTGGTACCTAGAGTACTACCGTTGACCTTTTCAATGGCTCAATGGTTTCGCGTGCAAAAAGTGAGTGGAGGTGGGAGGGAAGCAAGAAGCCGACGTAAGCCCACTGTACCGGTACGGTACGACTGTACATGTATGTCATACGGTAGGTACCCTCCCGATTCCCGAACTGGCAAATTGCAGTACTTTAATTAAAATATTTTAGAAACTCCATAGTAGTACTTTGGTATTTTAAATTTTAAAGCTTTTTAAAAAGATTGTCGGTCATTTTGAGGAAAGAAGGATTTAATAACAGTAGTTGATTATCGTTCTGGAGTTCTGGAGGCTCTTCTTTTAATAAAATAAAATAGCTGGAGGAGCTGCAGGAGGTGAGGAATATTTTGAGTTGAGCCCCATCTTTCATTGATTGAAAGATTGAAAGAGAGCTGCACAACTGGGGGATGAGCAAACTTGCCCATAGCCCTGCATTGTATTTGATAGTAATGTTTGTAAAATTGTCTGTGAAAAAGCGAATATTTGTTTTTGGATGCAATTTTTCTATTGGATTAGATTGGATTGGATTGAATTGCATTGGATTGCATTGAATTCCAGTTTACTATATAAATAACAGTACTATTCTGAATCCAATTCAATCCAATTCAATCTAATCCAATGCAATCTAATCCAATTGAATCTTGTTTCCTGCAAAAATCTATTTTTGCTCCTTTTTCTTACATTCGCCACTCCTGTTGAGTACATGTACACTACTGCGCTATAGCAAGATTGGCCCATCCCCCTGAAAGCTTCCAGTATTGAAAGTACAGAAATGGTTCAGGTCTGTATTTCCCCTCTCCCCGAAATAAATGAGCTAATAAATGGCAAAAGCTTTGTCTCAGCCGTACAGCTGTACCACTAAGAACGTCCACGAATTTTAGAATACATACAAGTGTACATGTTCAAAGTACCAGTGGTGACGTCGGCAATAGGGTGTACTATTACGCACGCTGGAACTTGGGTGTTTACTAGTAAGTGTATTTAAAAAAAATACAGGTTCTGTTCCGCTCCGGCGTAGACTTCAAACTACACGTCGTTGTGTACAGTCTACTCGCGCTAATATTTATAATATTATATTTATCCTCGCTGTAATATTTATTAAATCTCGAGGCCCCCCCCTCAGTCCCGGGTATCCGTGAATGAATCTTTCGAGCAGCAACAAATCTTTCGAGCAGCCCGACAACGTCGTCAATCATTCAACCGTTTCAATTTGACCGAGACAGCATGTAAAATGCCAATATCAATCCAATGGAGGTGGGATTCCTCGCACCTCTGCCCGTGCTGTCTTGTCTGGGCCAGCCCAAGCGCTGGTTGTTTACCGTGCAGTTTTCGAAGGATGGTTTCGAGGAGAACAAAAACAATTCTCCTGAGCTGCCAAACAATTTCACCCAAACCATACCAAACCCTCCAATCTGACATAGAGGTGGATGTTTGCAAGGCATCGAAATTGCATTGCAAGGATCCTTTGCGGCTGATTACGATCTCTACTCTGGGGACGATGTGATGCAAATGGCGGAGAATTGGATCGATGTCGAGGATGAGCCGAAGTCATTAGTGCACCCGTCGACGAAGAGAATTGAAGCGCGGAAGATCGAAACAACAGAAGCGGAACTGGCTGTGAATGATGACGAGGAACCGGAAAAATGGAGGATGATCCCGAACCAGCCGATGTGTTTGGCCTCATTTGCGGAAGCTGAAGAATCAATCAATAAGCTGTCCGAAAGTGCTCTGCTTTGGGTATCAACCAGGCAGCCACTGTGCATCCTTGACAGGTTTGCTAGGGCATTGAATGTGGCTAGGGCTGCTAGGGCAGGCAAACGTAAACGCGACGGCTCTATCCATTCGTACTTTACTAGTGGAACCGGCCCTTGAAAGCCTTATATTTATTCTCTCTACTATATTTATCGAAATCCGCAATCCCCCCCCATAAATAATAGAGCGAGTCAACTGTAGTCGTGCGAGAGAGAACCGGTGGTACGGTTGCCCCTGAAAATTTCGGCACTTCGAGTACGGCTATTTCCGACTTGCGAGCTTGCGAGGCTTTATCACCCCCGATGCGCGGTACATAGCTTCCGAGTTCACGTAGTACTAGATCTACGCTGTATCTCTAGCTAGCTAGCTAGAGTAGTAAAGGGTGCAGAGCAAGAAAGCCAAAAGCAGTGCGTCAGAGTTGGGAGACAGATTGACCGCCTGAAAGTCCAAGTCAAAATTGACTACTAGCTTCCTGGTAGCTAGCTAGTAGCGTAGACTACTGTACTGCGAAAATTGAAAATTGCTCAATTGATCAAGGCAATCACGGGACCTGGGAAGCTCGCCAGAGTGCTGGTTGACCAGCTGCATTCATGCTGCGAGCTGGGCGCTGCGCGGAAGTCAGGTTCTCCTCAATAATGGCTGGTTCATCATACATCATACTAGCTAGTCTAGTAGTAGTATCTTACGATTGTGGCAAATAGTGACTGAACTGAGTTGGTACGTGTTGTTTGTACGATGTAGGTTGTGGTAGGCCCATCACAGTATGGCCGTGCTCCGAGAGCATAAAGTAGGCAAGTGTGCATCTAAGAGGAACGGTTCGCTTGAGCTCTCTTGGAGTTTTGAAGAGGACTCGACTCGACTCATTCCTTCTTCCAACGCACCAGATGCAGAGCAATGGTGAAAATGTAACCTAGCTAGTCTACAGAATGGCTAATAGAGCCACAGTACAGTGCTGAGACTTTTGTAGCACTAAAAGCTCTATAGCCTTGAGCCCAAACCACTTAGTACTCCAGCTCGTAGCTCTAGCCATAGTGTAGGCAGGGGTAGACAATAGCCCTGTAGGTTCCTACAATGTCATTGCTAGCTTGCCCACCTAGCTTTATGAGTCTGGCTAAAATCTGTCGTTGCTTTGCCGCCAGCATTATAGTCAGAACGAAGATATTAGACTAGCCCGTTTTGATTGTCGAGAAACTCGCCAGAGACAGCCACCTACATCATGCATGGATTGATTCACGATCAAACTATGGAATTGAGCTAAAGCAACAACACCTGGGTCCTGTATGCGGCCGGCGGCCACCATTAGATCTACTCATTGATTCAGACTCATTGATTCAGACTTTATCAATTGCAGCAAAAAGTGAGTATACTAAATAATTTACTGGGATTGACAGAGACAAGCCTTCAGAGTTGGTCCTAACCGCATTCATGTGGTTCGTACGTTCGCACAGGAAACACATTTATTTCCATTCCGCCTCGCGTATGTGTTTTCATTCCTATCCATGTGACACACATACGCGGTACGCGGTACGCGGTACACAAAAGAACCATCAAATCCCCAACTCTATCGAGTTTCGAAAATCGAAAAGTGAGATATCCCCAACTCTATCGAGTTTCGAAAATCGAAAAGTGAGATCTCGAGATCACGAAAACGGAAAGCAGCCAACGAGATTCTTTCAAAGAACAATCATGTGCTATTATCACGAGATTTCCTGACGCACGGTGATTGCGTTTTGGCAGAATCTTGCTGGATGCTCACCCCGATGATCTCGATAGAGTTGGGGATTCACTCGAGCGTTATGATTGGTCCTACGCGAATTCCAAATAATTCCAAATTCACACGAACGGCGAACCGCAGCTCCACTTTTTTACTATAAACATTTTCTGCGGTTCGCCGTACGTGTGAATTTGGAGGTCACCTTTCCAAATTCGGCAGTTAAATCCATTTATTTCGATTTGGCGAACGTATGAACGGCATTTAAGCTGGATAGGACCAGCCCTCAAGAAGAGAAGCGAAGGATTGTTCTCTTCGATGGAGATATCGCTTTGGGTTGGGTTGAAGTGGTACTACCGGTATCAATTATAGTAGCTACCTGTACTCGCTGCCTGTCCGAATAAAAATAGCTCCCAGCGGAAACATAAAGCTCGGTTGCTGCCGGTCTGAACTCTTGCTAGCTACTAGGAGCCATATTGCAGTCATGACATTGTTTTAGAATAGTAGTCAGAGCTCAGTCAGTTTGTTAGTTAGGCTGGCAGGAACAACGGTTCGATGCGGGCGCTGGGTGTACATGTATTATCAAGGCGGAGGAACCCCAATCCCGAGTCACACTTCAAGCAGCTAGCTCCGTACCACACACTGGATCCAGACCAGCAGAGTCCAAGTTGGACCCCAGTAGAACATCCCTGTAGCTTGAAGTCATCACTAAAACCTTCAACCATTGTGGTACCAGGTAGTATCGGAGGGTACTAGTACAACATTGCTCTCCTTGGAGGCTTGCAGTTGAACATCCGTTGCGTTCTCTTACCGGTAGCAGCGGAGTCGAGTCACCTTCGATCTCACAGGTTTCACTCTTGATCTTGATCTTGACTTGTTGGGTCCACTGGCAATCAGCCATGCCATGCCTCGTCGTCTTTTCATCTCATACTCACGCAAACAAAGCAATCCATAGAAAAAGGTAGAGCTTAAAATCATCATCACAATGAACATCACGGCTTACCCCATCGATCAGAGCGTCAACGATGCAGCTATGGTTCTGCTCGGGCTTAACCACAAGACGTCCTCAGATGCACAAAGGCTCGAGCTAACCAGGGCGACGGCGCGTTCTGAAGCCTCTCTCCTTACGAAGAGGCAGTGCAGCACGACTTACCTCCTTCGTAAGCGTCCGCTTCTTCATGATACTACGTTGGAACAACAGCCGACAAAGAGAATGCGTCCAATGAAGCGTTCTGCCAGGTTTGGGGACGACCCATCCGTTGCACCGTCTGTTCAGCTTCACGTCTTCGAGTCAGTAGACCACGAGAATGCTAATCTTATTTGGTGGACTCGGGACGAGATCCGCCACATTCACAGACGAGAGAGGGCCATGATTGGAGTCTTGTCACAGTGCTGCGGGTTCTATGTGGAACAACTGGCCTGTCTGACGAGGGTGTCATTCGAAGACACAGTTGACTTATCCAAGGAAACCAGCTACGCTTGGGTTGCCGACAGCCCAGGCCGTGGTTTGGAGACGCAGGTCGCTGCCGTCCTCACAGGTAGCACCGACAAGGCAAGGATTGTGACCAGAAAGGTGTGGAGGCCCACAAGCTGTTGCAGAAGCATCTCAGCGGAGGAGGACAAGCCATTGCTGCACAAGAACAAGCCAGTGACATTCTCAGGGCTCGGTACGAGGACTTATCTCTGCGGAGCAAGAGATGGGCTCAGCTACTGGCAGCAGGAGACGCTCTAGTGGCCAGGCTCGACGACGGAGGCATCAATCTGAGGGGTGGAAGCAGAAAGGCTAGACCCAATCAAGTCGTCAGTCATTCCACTCCCGCTGCTCCAATTGTTTGATATGAAAGCTTTACTAGTAATTAAAGATACCGGTAATGTTTGATAGACGCAAGTGCACAAGCTTGTAGCCAGCTAGCTAGTAGGTATAGAAGATGCTGGGAGCTGCAGCCCTCCTTTTCAGGTTCCTCTGTCCCTCCTCTTACGAAGGAAGGCGCTCTAATCTGTATTTTGAGATTGGGGATAAAATGGTTCTGCTGTGTATCATAATTATTGTTGTGGGCTCACGTGCACCGAGGTTTTCCCCGGGTGGTGATGTCAGATTGGACCAAAAAGACATGGAGCGGGAACAAGGACGTGTCTGTGTTTTTCCTTTTCTCGTACAGAGCACGGACCGCCGTTCGTCATTCGCACGATGAAAGCCCGACAAAGCACGAGCCGCGGGAGATTGAGGAGAGGTTCGAAGAAAAATTTTAGGAGGGGAATGGGAACAACCGTGAACAGCCGATGCCTGAAGTAAGTGTTCTTTTTGAAGCGCTCGAAGTAATCTATCGCTCTCCAAAAAAGGTTGACTCTCCTTGTCCAAAATCCCTTCAGTTCTACAAGAGTGCGAAAGTAGTGCAATAGCTCGTCTAGGTCTGCTCCTTAGAGACAAAGCACCATGGATACTGTTACTGTGGAATCCTCCAACAATGTAGCATTAAATTCCAGTACCCCACCTCTTCTAACGACGAAGAAAGCAGAAGAAATCACCGTACGCATGATCGACAACAACAACAACCAGAGCAATCACCAACTGGCGACGATCCACGACAAAATCCTCATTCTCAAGGTCCCTGCTGGTCCAGAGGAAC